GAAGCAACGACAGTTGTGTCCGTATCTGTTGGATAGAGTGCTGGAGTGCCTGGGTCAGAACCGTTGTCTACTGTCTTAAAGTGAATTAATTGGCTGCGGTCCTACCTGTGGATGATATAGCACACTTAAGTGAAGACCGCATAATCAGAAGGAGTAGAGGGCGAGGACGGTGATCATTAAATGGTATGGAATAATCAAAGAAAGGAAATTATGGAAAATTGTGCAACTAAGGGGATAGAATGGCCACCTAGAAGTCATAGACATTACTAGCAACTAGAAAGGAAGAACAAAAAACCTCGTCTTGCTCACTTCTGTTTATACTTCTCTATTTACGTGTTAGCCATCCATCCTGATTGCCAAAAAGCACCAAGAGAAGATGACAATTCCTGCTTTTGGAAACGGTGCAAAAGAATATTGAGACATACGCGGATGGGAATTGAGATGGCTCTAGATCTAGTGTAACATCTTCCAGTGTGCGAGTTTGTCACCAGTCTGAGGTATGAGATTGTGCCTTGTGCAAATCTGAGACTATTTTTCTATCGTCTGACTGACTGCAGTCATCCTAACCATTTCGGAGACAGAAGCTACTTTGGGTGTCAGTTTGATTAGAGTCAAAAATGTTTGTACGCTGCAGACCAAAACGTGGCAGAACGCAATCCATTCTGCTGTGCACCCACACAATCTCAAAGCAGTCTTTTCGTGAGTGAGGTGAGCCGCAAGTGGGTTGTTTGGTTATAACACATGGAAAGTCAACACAGGAGCAACTTCCTCATTACATGTCAATAAGTGACCGAATAGACGACGTAAAGAGCAGAAAATTGACCTTCTACACCTTCCAGTCTATTTTTTAATGGATGGGAAAGCCATGTACTGGGGCGAAATACTGGCGCACCACTCAATGTAGACACATTGGATTAGCGGTTGCTTCTGCATTGCCAACGCCGGACGGTCCGCCTAACCACAATGCTGCGGAGACAAACTTAGATGGCTTTGGAGCAGATGGGCAGCAGACTCAACTAACACCTCACGATCTGAGGGTTTACAGGCAGATGAGGGAAAAGTATCTCTCCATGGCGAAAGACAAGAATATTCATTTACCTTGATCCTTTAAGTGACAAGCCGAAATTCGTCGAGTATGAAGATGTCAAGGCTGCTTGCCTACTTCTTGCCGTCTCTTATATAGGAATTGATGTAGATGTGAATTTGAATTGAAAATGGGGACTGGGAAGTGGAAAACGCACAGCAAAAGTAATCTCAGAGAGAAAGGCAAAAGTGGAACACGCGGAAGAGGTCAGCGTGGATCAGATTAGATTACAGTTTTAATACTCTCCGTGTGAAGGAATTGCTTCAGCACAAGCCAAACATAGGCGGAAGCCAGGAATATACCAACCACGATTCAGTCTACGTATACCCACCATCCATACTGTACACGAATCAGAATGGCATCGTTAAGCTGGAAAATATCACATAGAGGATGAAAAAGAGAGAAAAGCAAACATAATTAGGAATTTGAGTGCCAAGAAATTCATTAGTTAGAGGTCTGACTGAGTCATCTCCAACTGTTAGGATGCATGTGAGACAAAGTCTGGATAGGTTCAAAATAAATCAAGCAACTCAGAATCACAAAATTTCTGGTTAACTCTCGATTGAGTTAAATGGGATACAGGTGGTGTACGTGTGTTCACACAGGTCCGTTTCGGACTGTCCACTACGAAAAACATGGGATAGTTGTTATTTGCGAAATTGGGAAGACTCAACAAAGGTGGAAGTTGAGGGAGTATCGAATGCCTTTTTCCTTCTTTACTTTTCCTCCTCTCACTCTCTCTTTCCCTTTTCTATCCCAAACAACTTGCATGCTTTTGCGCAAATGAGTATAGATGTGAATTCGAGATAATCAAGCAGAAAAAGCGTGGCTAAAGTACTTTCAAGGAATGAGGGACAGATGGACAGACAAAGGCAGGAAGGCAGAAGGAGATAACGTGCAAAAGTTCAGGCCAAACCACACACAGGTGGAGGCCAGATTGACACCAACCACGATGCAGTTCGCGCACACAGGCCAATCACACTGTTTGCTAGTCAGGGTAGGGTAGTTGAGCTATGATAATATTCAACAGGATCATAACAATTGTATTGGTCTCCTATAAGCTGCAAAGGACAATGGCATAAGACATTCCTATACGGTAAAAATCCTGTGCACAAATCGGGTTTGGGTCGTAAAGCTTGGGAATTTCGTATAGGGCATTAACTGAAGAATAATAGCATGAGATGTTTCTATACGGAAAGTAAAGTTCTGCA